ATATAAACACGTAACTGTGAATGACACTGGCCTCATCATATAAACACAGTTGCGTGATCTTGTTTTGCCCGTACGCAGCAGAGTTAGGTAACGGCTTCACCACTTTCTCTGACTGTATCAGACACCGGGGGGGTTTGTACTGTTTAGAAAAACTAAATATTTCTAGTATTTCCCCAAATATTTGCATCATCTATTGATCTATACAGTCTTATAACATACAACGGGATATAAAAGGAGGAAAGTCTTCATATTTTGCCATCATGCAAAATGTAAGATTGCAGACGATGGGGTAAGACTTGTTATGGTCATGTCTAAATGAGGGAAAATTTTAAAGGTTTTAATAGCATAAAGAAAATAATTGGAGGCAGAATAATCACTGTTACACTGTTATTTACAGCCGCAGACAGTTAGGACTCTGGATCTATTAATGTCAAAGATTCCGCAATATGAATACACGTCACACATAAGAAGGTGGGAAGTGGATTTAAAAAAATAGAAGTACTTATTTTGATCATTTAAGACCATATAAACTCAAATAAGATGACACAAAAGTCAAATATATTGTGACATTAGGATTAGTTATATCAAGCCTCAGGTTCAGGTAATTATTTAAATGAATACAAATTAGTGAGACAGTATGAAAATATCTGTGTCACTTTGAATGCTGAAGCGATGACATCATCTCCTGTCGCCGCACAGAAAATGAAAGAGTTTAAATGAGCAGTTTTAAACTAATTATCTGCACAAGAAAGAATGAAAAGTTCCCCCATCGTCCGGATCAAATGTTCAGCCTCACCTCTGATCACGTTTATTTCGGAGCGTTTAAGGCACAAATCAGACAAATGAGAAAAATGTGTTCAAGTTCAGAGGGGAAACAGAGGATTTAGACTTTGGATTTCAAAAGAAGGATAAGAAGAAGGAGTGAGGAGAGCAGCCAATCAGAGCCTAACCTTCACAAAGTGCCTCCATAAACCCGATAAACGAGAATAAAGAGCACGGCAGGATCTGTAAATGCATCATTCCAGTCTCAAAACGACCCAAAACCAACAAATTTAGAAGTAACTCTCCGGGGGGATTGGCTGATTCCAGGTCAGCGGGGTGCCAGTTTTGGCTCATTTGGGTCAATGTTGCAAATCTAGAAAGAGGCCAGCAACACCGAGTGATCTTTACAGGAGTTTACACATCAACAGTCTGAGTTCTGTTCAGGGGGGGGGACTCTGTGCTTTCCTCATAATATCCAAACGCAGACAGGCGGCTGTCGGTGGAGCAGAAAGGACAGCGAGTTCTGCTGACCGACCCTGAGGTCAGCGGGACATTAAAGTGCAGTTTCCCTGTGAGCAGAGTTAGCTTTAGCTCAGGTCAAACCTCAGGGAGTAGTGTTCATCAGAGAAAATGTCTCAGACGGATCGACTTTGTCTCGTTCAGCCACACAAACAAGAACTAAACTGATAAAAACTGCAGGCTCCATGTGAGAAATGATCATATTGCCATCAAATTCACTGATTCTCTAACGAGGAAAAATGTCTGTTTTAACTGAGTTTACTTTAAAATAGTAATTAGATCTTAATATTTGTGGATGGTGGAGAGTTGATGATCCAAATACAAACTGAAGGAAACTGAACTTTGATTTTAATATCTTGGAGATGAGATAGAAACAAAGCTGAGGCGAGACAAAACCAACCGACAACACACAAAAAAAAACAAAAAACAGGCACAATGAGAGTAACCGTGGACGTATAAAGACAAGCCAAAATCCCAATTTAAACCAATAACTCAAATCAGACAAACGAGGAAACGGATTAGAGACAAACAGACTAAACAAATCCACTGTCAAACAGAAAGTTTAAAATGATCCAAATGACAAAGAGGACTGGCTGGAAATGGTTAAGGACATATATGTCATGGAGGACTTGACCCACAGAATAAGACTAAAGATGGACTCCTGAGTGGGAAAATGGACAAAGTGGATCATTTACATTGCAGTGACTAATTAAACATATGGGGAATTGTTTATCCCAACCCGGACAGTGTATAGTTTTGTTTATGTAGTGTGTTTGTTCTTGTTTCTTCCTCTCCTTTTTTCCTTTTCACACCTTGTAATTGTCAACAAAGAAAATTAAAGTTAAAAAACATAACGGGTTCATCTCTTTTCCCCCTGTGGCAGCCGGAGCCCCGGGCGGAGCTGCTGCCCCGCCTGT